ATCAGTAAAATTCACATTAAAACCATAAGGAAATACCTCTACACAATGACTAGAATGGATAAAACTAGTAAGACTGCTAACATTACATATGAGTGAGGATGTGGAACAATTGGGACTCTCATACATTGCTAATGGGAATGTAAAAAGGCAAATTCTTATAAAGTTAAGTATATGCCAGTTATTTGACAGAATCCTTTTCTATGTCTTTATCCAAAAGGAAAAAAACATTTGTCCACAGGAAGACTTGTATAGCCATGTTCATAGCAGCTTTATTTACAGTAGTAAAAAATGAAAACCTGGTGTTACATTCACACAATGGATTACGATTCAGCAATAATAATAAAAAAAAGAACATACTAACCAGAGAGGGAAAAACTAAGGTGAAAAAAATCACAGCAGTTATTATTTCTTATAGGCTAAGCATTGGCTGAGAAAGGATACAAGGGTACTTTCTGGGGCCTTGGAAATGTTCTATACCATAATATCCATTTGTCAAAAGTATACAGCTAAAAATTGTACACTTCAGTGTATGTAAATATTACCAAAAAGAACCATGTATTGATGATGATGATAGAATGAGGTGGTAGGGAGTAGGTGAAAGTATAAATGATATAAAAATGGCAGAATATTGGGGTACCTGGGTGGTGCAGTCGGTTAAGTGTCTGACTCTTGGTTTCAGCTCAGGTCATGATCTTGGGGTCCTGGGATCGAGACCCCCCCCATCATGCGTTCAGCGTGGGGTCTGCTTGGAATTCTCTCTTCCTCTCCCTCTGCCCCTTACGCTCTTTCCCTCTAAGATGAATAAATCTTTAAAAAAAATTAAAAAATTTTAAAATGGCAGGATGTTGACAAATGAGCTCTTATTTTTGTCTGCATATGTTGAACTATAACTTTTAAAGAAATTTTTTAAAAAGATTATTTTGCAGAGAGAGAGAGCACGAGGGGTTTGGGAAGGGCAGAGTGAGAAGCAGACTCCCTGTTGAGCAGGGAGCCTGAGGCGGGGCTTGATTCCAGGACTCTGAGATCATGACCTGAGCCGAAGGCAGCTGCTTAACCGAGACACTCAGGCGCCCAGACTTTTAAAGAAATTAAAGAAAAAAACTCATATTTACCCAGAAATTTACCAATTCCAGTTACCTTCATTTTTTTTTTAAAGAATTTATTCATGGGCGCCTGGGTGGCTCAGATGGTTAAGCGTCTGCCTTCGGCTCAGGTCATGATCCCAGGGTCCTGGGATCGAGTCCCGCATCAGGCTCCCTGCTCCTTGGGAGCCTGCTTCTCCCTCTGCTTCTCTCTCTCTCTCCCCCCCCCCCCCCCGTCTCTCATGAATAAATAAATAAAAAATCTTTAAAAAAAAAAGTATTCATTTATTTGACAGAGACAAGGGAGAGAAGGAACACAAGCGGGGCAGGGTGGGGGGGTGGTAGAGGGAGAAGCAGGCTTCCTGCTGAGCAGGGAGCCCGATGCGGGGCTCAATCCCAGAATCCTGGGATCATGACCTGAACCGAAGACAGATGCTTAACGACTGAGCCACCCAGGCACCCCCAGTTATCTTCATTATTTCCTGTGGATCCAAATTACTGTTGTAATTTTCCTTCAGCCTGAAAAATTTGGTAGCATTTCTGTAAGTCCCCCAGCCATGAATTCTCTCAGTTCTTTATCTTAAAATGTATTTTGCTTTCATTTTTAAAGAATAGTTTTGATAGATACAGATTATAGGTTGATAGTTTGTTTTCTTTCATTCAATACTGTAAATATATTCCTCCACTGTAGTCTGGCTTTTGTTGTTTCCTTTGAAAAACTACCTGTAATTTGTATTTTTGTTGCCCTGTATATAATATTGCCATTTTGCTCTGCTTTTAAGATAAATTTTCTCTTTATCTTTGGATTTAAGCAGTTTATTTATGATATGCCTATTTGTGGTTTTCCTTGTATTTACTGATCTATAAGTTAAAGTCATTTACAAAATCTGGGATGTTTTATTACTTTTTTTTTTGCCCCATTCTCCATTCTATCTCTCCCCTCCTTCTTGGTCTTTTTTTTTTTTTTCTCTCTGTTTTTTAGATTATGTAATTTTTGATTCATCTTCAACTTCACTTATCTTCCATCTTTGGTTTGTTCTTAAGTCTATCCAATTAGTTTTTAACTGTAGTTATTGAACTTTGCAACTAGAGATTCTGACTTTATTTATTGTGCACATATCCTACTTTTAGTCTTGGTACATATTTTAATAGCTGCTTTAAAGTACTTGTGTGATTATTGTAATATCCAGGAAATCTTTGGAATTTGTTTTTATTGACTGCTTTTTTTCCCCTTCAGAATGGGTCACATTTTGTAGTTCTTTTCATGTCTAGTGGTTTTTGACTGGTTACTTGGCATTTTAAATGATGAGTTTTAGAGACTCTGGATTCTGTTTTGCTTTTCTGAAGAATAATTTTTATTCTAGAAGACAGTTGACTTGGCTGAACTCAAACTCCAGACTCTGTCTCCTCTGTAGTGATAGCAGCTTGAATCTTTACTAGTTACTTCAGTTACTTCAGTTTCCAGGTGCTTATTTTCTGCCAGCACCTTGGGGGTCTCTTCCCTCACTTCATGGTTAGTTTAGTGATTAGCACAGGTCTTGGGAGGACTTTGTATACAGATTTTGGAGATCATCTCTTTGGCTCCCTCTCTTCTAGAATATCCTTCCTAAATTTCTGTAGTTCGTCAGCCTCGAACTTGATATCTCAAGCCAATAAAATTTTGCTTTCTATTCAACCTACCTCCAGTGGCAATCAGATTCAGCAGTACCCTTGTCAAACAAACAAACAAACAAACAAACAAAAAAACCACAAATTGCAAATCTCATCTTTTGCAGATTTACCCCCAGCCACTATCCTCCCCTTGCCAGGAAATATGTGTTCTCTGCAGGCAGGATAGCTTCCAGAGGGAAAAGGGAGGACTGAGTTCATTTCTCTCAAGTCTAGTCCGGTAAGTTATGTTTTCTCCTCCACCAAGGAGTTAGTGAGGGAGTGGAGAGGCAAGGAATATACTATTTGAGCTCTGTCAGCATTGAAGTCAAGGCAGAGAGAAGATGTTCTCTTCTGAGACTCCCTGGAATTTTGTTCTCTTAACTGATTGGGCCTAAGCTTGCAGTCAGCTTAGTAGAAGAAATCAGCTGTTCGTCATACAATTGGGCTGACCCTCATGCTAATAAGTCTGGGGGGAAAACTAATTGGAAGCAGTCAAGAGCAACCAAAAGCAGACAGAAATTGAATGGGAAAGATGAACTACAAGTTTTCCCTCAAGACTCTTTATGTGTTGGAACAGTATAATGATTATATCAAATCCAATTTGACTCTGTAACAAGATTAAATTCTCTCTTTCTATTTTCTGTCTCAATTTATATCCAGCCACGTTATCCAGCATCGTATATGAGAGGTTCTGCAGTTAATTGGTAACTAATCTAAACTGCTAGGAATCCAGGAGAATATGCAAAGCAGAATATTCAGAGAATGTCTAGAAAGTGGCCATCTGGGGATTTTACATTTTATCTTTGTTTTATTTAATACATTTAATTTAAACCTACTTGGTCTGATATTAATATGGCTATTCCTGCTTTAATTTTGTTTGTGTATACTTTCTATGTCATTTTGTTTGAGGTAGACCCCAAATAGTATGTAGTTGGATATAGTTTTTTGTTTTTTATGGTTTGAAATTGTTTATATCTGAGAGGGAGTTTGCCTTTATCATACTAAATAGTGTAATTGTTCTTAATCTTGTTTTTCCTACCCTGCTTTTGCTGGTTTTTTTGCTTTTTTGTTTTGCACCTATTAATTTAGAAAGTAGACATTCTATTTTTATTTAATTTGTAATTATTTCAAAAAAATAAAACTTTATTTCTTTTTTTTTCATTTTTTAAAGATTTTTATTTATTTATTTGATAGACAGCAAGAGAGGGAACACAAGCAGGGGGAGTGGGAGAGGAAGAAGCAGGCCTCCCGCTGAGCAGGGAGCCCGATGTGGGACTCGATCCCAGGACCCTGGGATCACAACCTGAGCCGAAGGCAGACTCTTAACAACTGAGCCACCCAGGCGCCCCCGGAAACTTTTTTCTTTACTAACAATAATACATCAATATCTGTTGATTCCACTGAAAATGATGAATGAATCACATACTTTAGTACCTCCCTGTGGTTATTGGAATAATTTAGGCTTTTAAAACTATTATTTCCTTTTTTACATTTCCTTAAGGAATACTTTTTACATTTGCATTTCCTTATATAGCCATGTTAACCATATTAAGAATTACTTAGATATTAATTTTCAAATTGACAGGTTATAATTTCCATCTTTTTTTTTTCTATAATTTTTTAAACCCACCATGGGGCTCAAACTCATGACCCCAGGATAAAGAGTCACATGTTCTTCTGACTGAGCCAGCCAGGCACCCCCCCATCTTTATTGCTAACATATCTCCCCTATACTTAAGATCTTTATTTTTGTTTTTTTTTTTTCAGATACCAAAGTATTTCTTTGAGTTTTAAAGAAGAGTATGTATCTGAATCTTTGCATATCTAGGAATATTAAATGTGTATTCTGACACAGCAGTTATAACTATAGCAAGCTTTTTTAAGGAAATGATAGTAGTATGCAAAGATGTGTGTATAAGTTCATTTGCAGTATTATTACAAAGCAAAAATTAGAAACTAATAGATGTCTGTAAGTAGATTGGTTAAATAAAATTATTTCCAATCATTATTGCAATATTATAATAGTTTTATCATCTTTGTCTCCTAACTGAAATTAACGTAAATATCATTAATCTTTCTGCCTGTTACTTGTGCAAGTTGTAGCATAAGTTTAGACCATACAGAGCAAATATTAGTATGTATAGCTATTAACATTAATTTTCCATTTAGTATCTTTTCCACTTTTTCAATTGGATTAAATACTCACTGACTAGATACATATTATTGGAAAAATTTAAGAAATTTTCATCTGTTCCTTGTAGTCACTCCATGGATTCCTTTGGGCAACCCAGACCAGAAGATAATCAGTCAGTAGTTAGCAGAATGCAAAAGAAATACTGGAAAACTAAACAGGTCTTTATCAAAGCAACGGGAAAAAAGGAGGATGAGCACGTGGTGGCCTCTGATGCTGAACTGGATGCTAAACTCGAGGTAAATTTGAGGATTCTTTATATTGCATATAAGTGGTTATTCTTTGGGACTATGACTGAAGAACTTGCAGATTTGATAATAGAATGTTTAATTGTATTCATGTGTCAATCAGATCTTCTGGGTAGGAAGAGTCTTGAGGGAAAATTTGTAGTTCATCTTTCCCATTCAATTTCTGTCTGCTTTTGGTTGCTCTTGACTGCTTCCAATTAGTTTTCCCCCCAGACTTATTAGCATGAGGGTCAGCCCAATTGTATGACGAACAGCTGATTTCTTCTACTAAGCTGACTGCAAGCTTAGGCCCAATCAGTTAAGAGAACAAAATTCCAGGGAGTCTCAGAAGAGAACATCTTCTCTCTGCCTTGACTTCAATGCTGACAGAGCTCAAATAGTATATTCCTTGCCTCTCTCCACTCCCTCACTAACTCCTTGGTGGAGGAGAAAACATAACTTACCGGACTAGACTTGAGAGAAATGAACTCAGTCCTCCCTTTTCCCTCTGGAAGCTATCCTGCCTGCAGAGAACACATATTTCCTGGCAAGGGGAGGATAGTGGCTGGGGGTAAATCTGCAAAAGATGAGATTTGCAATTTGTGGTTTTTTTGTTTGTTTGTTTGTTTGTTTGTTTGACAAGGGTACTGCTGAATCTGATTGCCACTGGAGGTAGGTTGAATAGAAAGCAAAATTTTATTGGCTTGAGATATCAAGTTCGAGGCTGACGAACTACAGAAATTTAGGAAGGATATTCTAGAAGAGAGGGAGCCAAAGAGATGATCTCCAAAATCTGTATACAAAGTCCTCCCAAGACCTGTGCTAATCACTAAACTAACCATGAAGTGAGGGAAGAGACCCCCAAGGTGCTGGCAGAAAATAAGCACCTGGAAACTGAAGTAACTGAAGTAACTAGTAAAGATTCAAGCTGCTATCACTACAGAGGAGACAGAGTCTGGAGTTTGAGTTCAGCCAAGTCAACTGTCTTCTAGAATAAAAATTATTCTTCAGAAAAGCAAAACAGAATCCAGAGTCTCTAAAACTCATCATTTAAAATGCCAAGTAACCAGTCAAAAACCACTAGACATGAAAAGAACTACAAAATGTGACCCATTCTGAAGGGGAAAAAAAGCAGTCAATAAAAACAAATTCCAAAGATTTCCTGGATATTACAATAATCACACAAGTACTTTAAAGCAGCTATTAAAATATGTACCAAGACTAAAAGTAGGATATGTGCACAATAAATAAAGTCAGAATCTCTAGTTGCAAAGTTCAATAACTACAGTTAAAAACTAATTGGATAGACTTAAGAACAAACCAAAGATGGAAGATAAGTGAAGTTGAAGATGAATCAAAAATTACATAATCTAAAAAACAGAGAGAAAAAAAAAAGTAATAAAACATCCCAGATTTTGTAAATGACTTTAACTTATAAATTTTTAGATATGTGTGAAGAGTTACCTTATGTGTATAATATGTCCAAATCTCAAATTTTCATGTGCTTACTTTGAAATGGGTGTCTACTGGATGTTTTATTTTTGTGTTAGCTATTAGCAACAGTAGTAATGAAGGGAAAATTCCAAACAAAAACAATCCAAAAGTAATTTATTTTTGATGTTGTAATATATTACTTAATTTTTTTGGTAATTCACTCACATGTTATGCTTAAAATAATACTGTAGAAAAGCCAGATTGAGAGTTAACATTTTCTAAAGTTATCTATACTCTTTTCATCTGTAATTGGCAATATTTGATACAGTTTATATTGGATTTACATTTTTGCTATTTAGATAGTTTGGAGCTGAGGGGAGGACAGACTCCACAGTTATAAATTTTTATTAGTCCTCATGTATTTATCACCATTTTTTCCAACCCTCATGGGGGGGATCTAAATGGGGGAATCTAAATTTTCTATATCAAAGATAAAACCAATACTGAAGTACATCTAAGTCAAGGAAAACAGACATAACACTTACAAGAAAATGTGCTTTTGAAGTGCTTATAACAGATATGTTATATTTGTTTGTGGTTCTTTAGATTGTCCTAATAAAATTTATATTTCAAAGGTTTTTCACTCCATTCAAGAGACATGCACTGAACTTCTGAAGATAATTGAGAAATATCAGCTAAGACTCAATGGTATGAAATCCTAGATATCTATCCAATAATTCTCATTTAAAATAAATAATTCACTGACTTTTTTGAGAATGAAATATTTAATGTAAAAACAATAGTTTACTGAACTATTCTGTGAATGGTTCCTTATAACAAAGAAGCGACAGTGAGGAGCAGTGGGAATGGGGAGCTCGCATGTGAGTGGGCTTGAGTTCTGCTGCTGCCTCAGGGGTCCTGAGGGACTTCCCTTACAGTTTGTTTTGTGTTTGCTTGTGTTTTTAAGTAGGCTCTATGCCCAACGTGGGGCTTGAACTCTGACCCCAAGATCAAGAGTCGCATACTCTACGGACTGAGCCAGCCAGCACCCTTTTCCCTTTCAGTTTTTAACTTTAGCTTTTCCAACAGTAAACCAGGGTGAAATTAGGCATGACGTTAGTCATTTGTCACTTTAAGCTTATAATTTGAACACTTTATGGGCTCCCCCCCTTATTAGTCTTATTCTGATTAGAGAGTCAGACTTCTAAAACTTTGTGGTCAAAGACCACTTTTGTTCCGTGTTTTACTTTCAACCTGTTGTAAACTGACACTTTTATAATATACAATAAAAATTAATTTCTAGAAAAATAAAGAAGACATGCAAAATATAAGCACACTTTTTTATTATTATTAGATTCAACAGATATAAAATACTCAGTCAAGTTAGTAAGTTTCTAAACAGCTTCTTAGTTTTGGTACTTGTTACAGGCTGGTAACAAATGGTTCTGGGTTGGAACTGGTCAGTGGACCACACACTGAGTAGTAGTATACTACATGACAGCTTTTAGGGTTTCAGTAAAATTGTGGATGTCTGTGGGCCTGGGATACTGAGCCAGGGTGGGAGTCAAGATTAAGTTAAGTTTAAATAGGATATGAATACTTTGTAAGAGGCAATGATCCTAAAATGCATGTCTGCACAATTGCTAATGGATCATTTGTGGTTTTGTCATTTTGGAATCTTTTTTTTTTTTTTTCCACTAAAGATCAGCCTTTCCCAAAAGCAAGGTCCATGAATTCACTACATCAAAACCATCTGGAGCACTTGTAGGTGGGAGGAAGCAGATCCTAAGATCTATATAATCAGAATCTCTGGAAGTGGAGCCCCAGGAATTTGCATTTTTAAAATAAGCCTCTCCTTCCCCCAAGTAATTCTTAACATATAGAGAATTATTGCTGTGAGAATTTTAGTTGTGTGTTTTAAACAAATGATGAAATGAAACAATTAACTATACTGTAATTTTTTCCTAGTTATATCAGAGGAAGAAAATGAACTGGGGCTCTTTTTAAAGTTTCAAGCAGAACGGGATACGACACAAGCTGGTAAAATGATGGATGCTACCGGCAAGGCACTCTGTTCTTCAGCCAAGCAAAGGTTTACTATGTTTTACATCATCCTTAAATCTATAGTCAAGATGATAGTTTTGACCTATGTTTCTAAATTTGCGTATCTGTAAAGATTACTGATCATTCCTGTATAGGGTTAAAAGAGAGATACATTACAGCATATAATTGTTTTGATGCCTAACTCTTATTTATTTTGTATGTAAAAGAATTACTTAAAAATGGACATTGTAGGTTGCTTAATTCCTAGAAATAGGCTTTAAGCCTATATTTAAATTTCTTATGTGGTCTAATATAACAGGTACATACATACAAAAATATGTATATTTTAATTATTTTCTTTCTTTTTTTGGATACTGTACTATCTAGGAGTACATTAGAACTTTTCTTCCCCCTTTTTTTAAAGATTTTATTTATTTGACAGAGAGAGACACAGCGAGAGAGGGAACACAAGCAGGGGGAGTGGGAGAGGGAGAAGCAGGTTTCCCACCAAGCAGGGAGCCTGATGCGGGGCTCGATCCCAGGACCCTGGGACCATGACCTGAGCCGAAGGCAGACACCTAACGACTGAGCCACCCAGGCACCCCTAGAACTTTTCTTCTTTTTAAGCAGAGAGCATTTTTTCTTAATTATTTGGCATTTATCACTTTTACAGATTTTTAAGATAAAGATACCTGTTGCAAAGAATCTCCTACATTTACTAAATACAGCCAAAATCTTTGCATTTTCAGAAGAAAAATAAAAACAGGTCTTATCAGACCTGTAATGACAACGTATAACTTAAGTGGCTTTATTCTGAAACACCACATCAGTGCAAAAGCCCATCATTAAGGAACACTCAGTACAAGGCCCTTCAGTGCCACTAAGTCAAAAACGCAGACTAGAGGAGCTGGGTTTGATTTGTTTCTTAAATTCTTGATTTTTTTGTCCTCATCCTCAGCTGCTGAGAACTCAACACATTAGTTCTTCTAGCATTTTATCTGCTTTTCTATGCTTAGGTTTTACCTCAATTTGTCACATGAAAGGCTTTCTATTTATGGGATTATGCTTTGTGAATACAGGATCTCTTTTACCCATGGAACTCTTTTCTAAATGGCAGATTTACTTGGCAGGTTATTTATACATGGATTAACATCCAAAATGTTGCAAAAATAATATATTTCTTAAAATAAGAAACGGGAGACAGACACATCATTATTAGCAATTCAAAGTTGGCTATATGATCTTTATTTGCTTTCTAAATAAAGTTCCTTAGGCATCTTAATAATTTCCTATTTTATAGACTCATCTTTTTTTTTTTTTAAGATTTTATTTATTTATTTCACAGAGAGAGACACAGCGAGAGAGGGAACACAAGCAGGGGGAGTGGGAGAGGGAGAAACAGGCTCCCTATTGAGCAGAGAGCCCGATGCTTGATCCCAGGAGCCTGGGATCATGACCTGAGCCGATGGCAGATGCTTAACGACCGAGCCACCCAGGCACCCCTAGACTCATCTTGACAGCAGATATGCTTTATGGTTTTAAACCTTTGTTTTTACTTTGTTTTGTTTATGGGATGTACATCCCTCTGGTTTTTACCTCTCTGCCATTAGATTGGCCCTGTATACTCCTCTGTCTCGTCTTAAGCAAGAAGTAGAAACATTCAGTCAAAGGGCGGTATCTGATACCTTGATGACAATCAATCGTATGGAACAAGCGCGCACAGAATACAGAGGAGCCCTGCTGTGGATGAAGGATGTGTCCCAAGAACTGGACCCAGACACCCTAAAACAAATGGAAAAGTTCAGAAAAGTATGAAAATCCCTTCCCTTTCCTTTACTTGATAAACCTATTGAACTTACACAGAATAATTGAATCAAGATCATAAATTATCAGGCTATTTTTGAAACACATTATATTATAAAATCTTGGTTGCTTGGAGATCTTTGAAGTACAAAAGGTTATTACTTTTTTTTTTTAATTCTTTGAGTGACATCCCCACCCCATCAACCTTTTCTATTAATTTTTTTTTTTAATCCCTCTCACAGTAGCTGTCACTACCCTTTAAATGTTGCTTCCCTGGACTTTGGGATTTGTTTGCAGGAGGGGGAAATAGTTTATTAATGAGGAAAAAATAATTTAAGTAAAAATTCAGGTAACTCGATTATTATAAGAAAAAGTGAAGATTATCAGATTCTTCTTCTGCTACAATACATAGTTTGACCACAGACCTTTAAAGTATGTATGGACTTATGTTTTTGCTAAACAAACTACTTATGAATTGTATCCCCTAAATTTACCATATATGAATAATAAAATTCACTCCTTCACTTCATAAATATTTAGAGTACATATAATACAAATCATATTTATCATTATTATTTTTTAAAGATTTTATTTATTTATCTGACAGATAGCGAGAGAGGAACACAAGTAGGGGGAGTGGGAGAGGGAGAAGCAGGCTTCCCACTGAGCAGGGAGCCCGATGCGGGGCTCGATCCCAGGACCCTGGGATCACGACCCGAGCCGAAGGCAGACGCTTAACGACTGAGCCACCCAGGTGTCCCTAAATCATATTATTGATGGAGCCTCTCTACCAGCCGTATAGGCCACAGAAACCTGTTATTCTTTCCCCTTTATAGTCCATGACAATTAGAATACAATCCAAGGGAGTTGTCAGACAACATTGTGAATACACTAACGTCACTGAATTATATATTTTTTAAATGGTTAAGTTTATATTATCTGAATTTCACCTAAATTTTAATTAAAAAGAGAATGGATTCTAAACTTATCTGGACCCAGATAGCCCTGCACAGTCTGGTTCCTGGTCCCTGTGCAGCCACATCTTGCACTTCCTATACTCTAGCCCTTTCCGTGCCCCAGGAAGGAATATGTTCTAGCCTATTCCATGTTGCTCTGCAAACATATTAAGCTCTTCACCCACCTCCCACACCCAGGACTTTTGTCCTTGCTTTTCTCTGAGCCTGGAATGCTCTTCTCAGAATCCTGGTATGGCTCGCTTATCATCTTTCTATCCCAGTTCAAACATCTTGCATGAGCTCACCAAAGGCTTCCCTGATCATCTTACCAAAAGTAGTCATTTCTTTTCACTTATATGTTATCTTTGCAACTTGATATTATCTTATGTATTTATTTACTACTGTTTTTTCCTGTGCCTCCCCACTCAGGGATGGTGACAAAGAACATTGTTTTGTTCACCACAATATCCCGGTGCCTGGCACATAATAGATACCTTATAAATACTTGTTGAATGACTGAATAAGTATATTTAAAAGTTGAATATTCATGCCACGGTGACATATGACTTACCTTAAGTATAAGAAATATGATAGACCTATATTTAAATTTATTAATGTATCTCCATGATTCAGAATTATTATTACTGCTTCTCAACACTTTAATTATGTCCCCTTTCCATTCATTCTTCTATTAGCTAAATATTATCCATCAATAGTTTTGGATATTTCTTTTTATTTGGAATCTGTGGGGTTTTTTCTTCTTAACTATATACTTTCCATTTATCACTACATACTTTCTCAGCATAAAGATATCTGCTGGAAAGAATCTCCTACAATTACTAAAAATAGCCAAAATCTTTATCATTAATCATGAAATAATAATACAAGGAAAGAGAATTAGTCTTCTTTTTTACAATTTCATTTGTCTGAAAGTATATATCATGAGCCTGTATGGTATGTCTGTATTATCAGTAATAATAATAAATATTATTGTGGTTGCAGGTACAGATCCAAGTGAGAAATAGCAAAGCTTCTTTTGACAAGTTAAAGATGGATGTTTGTCAGAAAGTGGATTTACTTGGAGCTAGTCGCTGCAATATGTTATCTCACTCCCTCACTACCTACCAGGTACCCACCTCCATGGTCAGCATGTCCTTGCAGTAAAGATGAGTGGTGAGATTCCTTTTTAAAAGTTGTTTAAAGGGTATAAAAAATTACATAATTAATCAGATTCCTTTGACTTTGAAAATTGACTTACTGAGGTTATGACAGAGAATCATAGAATTCTAGACTGAAAAAGACCTTCGGGATTGCCGACTCCTGTATCTTCATGTTATTCCCCTTGGTGTCCTAGGAGAGGGAGACTTTGGGGCCATCTAGGTTTGAGTGGGGGGTGTTGAGGCAGAATTCACAGCTCATTAACCCTGGTTCACCCAGAACTACTCCACTTTGAACTTCTACACACAGTTTCATTTGAAGCAAAGATGCTATGGCCCAGTAGTTTAAAATGTTTCTGTCATTTTGTAGCTGAGGGAAATGAAACCTAGGAGAATTAAAGTAAATGACAATGTTGGGCTAAAAACCCAAGTTTTCTCGTGCTGGGTCCCATGTTTTCATTCTGCCAAGTCACCGTCTCCCCCGCCGTTAGCCTCAGCAGTCTCATCTGTGCTTCTGCTACCCCAAATCACGCATGAGCAGCATGCAGTGAGTGAGGCAGATGTTAATTAGTAGAAGTGACTAATCTTAACATGTATTCGTGAATAGCAAAATAGAGTCAACTGTGTTTACATAAGATAAGAATAATAAACTAAAGGGAATGGACATTCACTGGGCCTTGTAGGAAATCTACCTCTTTTGGTTCAGTACTGTGGAATTCAGGAGTCAAGAAAGGATGCACTTAAAAATAAAAGTATCTGCAAATCCATGTAGCATACACCTGAAACACAATAGCTATTAGTTCAGTTCTCCTTTATTCTCTCCACTCAGCCCACTTTGAATACGAACTTTGAAGCACCAAGGAAAGTGTCCAATTACTTGAGTTGGCTTGAGAACACTTTTTTTTTTTGGTCTTTCTTGTGCCCTAAATGAAAGACTAAATTTAGTGGTACATACTATTTTTCCCAATTAATAAAGGTTTATATATGCTTACCAACATAAAGATTTACACTATACCCCTAATACAAATATGGTATTTTTATGCTTTTAACATTTCTCTTTTGGACTCTTCAGAAGGTGTTCTAATCTACTAGCATTACTCTCTGGCTGACTCCAGTGTGTACATTCCAGTGCTGTATACAGATAGGCACATATATATGCTGAGAGATGCCAGTTCTTATGCAGAATTACTATTTACATTGCTTTCTGGTTCCTCAAACTTGGAAATCGATTTTACTTCCTACTGCTTATTATTCAGCAACCATTCATCTACCTACACTAGTGAGGCAAAATAGCAGGGGAAAAAATCATAACTGTAGTGACAACCTTTCTTTTTCTGCAGAGGACACTGCTTGGATTCTGGGAGAAAACAGCCCGATTGATGTCCCAGATCCATGGGGCCTGTACTGGCTTCCATCCATATGATTTTGTAGCTCTCAAGGTACATTTCTTTCCATGCTCTTTTGTTAGATATATTATACTTCATTTGGATATTGAAACTATTTTGTGCTAAGCCTAACTTTGAATTTACAAAATATTGGGAAACATTTTTCTACACTCCTTCTACCAGTCATTTTTCTGTACTTCCCTGATTCCAAGTGCTACCAGCAACACTAAACAAATATGAGAATACTGCTGGTGGGCTCAAGATATTGGGTGGGGGTTGGCGGGGAGTAAAAGAGCGAGCAAGAGAAAAGAAAATTAAAATGCAAACGAGATAAAAAGTTATGGAAAAGAAAAACTTCGGAGGAATAAGCAATGGGAAATGGTCATTGGTTTTCAAAAACAACCACAGTACCTACCTGACAGTTTTAGAAGTTAAAGAAAAATTTCCTAGCTTTACTTTTATACTCATGTTGTAGATGTGATTCATGGTGCAAAACTTATGGGTGATTCCAGCTTAAGAGACTACTGTATTATATTAGATCAGCTCTTTCTGTAATGCCTACATGTAAAAGGTACTCTCAGGTTTTTAACATTTGCATATCTTCCTGTCAACCTTCTTTGCATATGGCTTATCTAGCAGAGTCACACCATGGTAATCATTTCTTTAATTCGGGTAGGCTAGGTTTCAGTGCCTTTGAACTTATCATTCTGCCTTGTTTTAAATAGAGCTTGAAAATGTTATTGTTGAGATTACTCAAACTAGATGTGTTAATCTGTGATAGATTCATATCTTGCACCTGTTTGTTCCTGGGGCTTGGTATGGATTTTTAGGTCATGTTTTGACATAGCATCTTCCAGTCTAATAGATACCCTTGTATTAGTCTTTATGTTTTTTGTTGTGTGTATGTTTTGGTTTTTTATTTTTTTCTCTATCAGTGTTTTACTGGATAGCATACTGTGTTTTTAGGCAAATTTAATACCTAATTTCTGTTCAGATGAAGTTGAAAATCTTTAGCCATATTTAGAGCATTGCAGTCAAAGCCAGAAACACAGTGTGTCTTCCTTGGCATATGACAGACTTGTAAACCCTGTGGCTAGCCCATGTCACAGGCTGTATGGTTGCCATAGGCACCAGGATAAACAGGGACACAGGGCTTAGTTCAAATTACATTAGCATATATTTCCCATATCTCTCACTCTCTAGTCTCCTTCATAATTATCCCTATTTTGTTCTTTAAAATTTTTATTCTCATTTTATTTGCACAAACAGAGAAACAGATTCCATCTACTTAACATTGAATTTCTTGTCCTTAGCAACTACAAGACACTCCAAGCAAGCTTACCGAAGACCACAAAGAACAAATAGAAAACAATTCTCTCACTGAAAACCTCAATGAGTAAGCAGGCAGAAGTATGGTGTTATGGATAATGATACATGATATATGATATATTTGGAAACTGTGGATACTGATATAGAATATATTTGGAAAGAGTTGTTTCTTTTCTGACTTACTTAATATTTATTTCTATGTCATTTTTCCAATTACTATTTTTAAGGGTTTTTTTTTTTTTAAAGTGAGCTCTGTGCCCAACATGGGGCTTGAACTCATGAGATCAAGAATCAGGTGCTCTACCGACTGAGCCAGCCAGGTGCCCCATTTTTCCAGTTAATAGTAAACATTTGTTTTGAAGCCTTATTTTTCCCCCTATTTTAAACATAGCAGGCAAAGTTGATGATAAGAGTACAGAACAGATTGGAGTGATAACTCCAAATTCTGTAGTTTGGGAGAGTGAGCTTTGTACTAAGAGCCTCTACCTAGTGAATCCCAGAAGGGCCAGCTTGAAAGAGAAAGGGACAAGTGCCAGCAGCTATGAAACAGAAGCTATTGAAAATCTGTCTCTAGAGCAACACAAATGGGACTGGGGCTGGTTACATGAAAATGGGGGTTCTTGCTATGCACATCCTTTATGTTGCCTCTTTCCATTTTATTATATCATACCTTTGTTTTCCTTTCAGAGCTGCCACTTCTCATTTTAACTAGATTGCACTGAGTGTAGTAACAAACCCAGAAATAAGACTTGAACTGTGACAAACCATAAATTGCTGAGTGGAAGGTGATTCAGGATATAAGCATGTCCCTCTTTTCTCTCTGGGGAAATCCAAACAAATATTTTGGCTAACTTGAATATATAAACAATTTAGATGTAGATTAATCAAATTTGTAGTTATAAATGAAACTTATACATTGACATTTACAATCCTATGTTACATGAAATATATTCATTTAGTAAATATTTTCCATTATCACATTTCATGTAAGTTTTATTTAAAATCCTCTCATGCATCTTCAGCATTATGAGAACTACCTTTTGAGTTAACCAACAAGAGTCCAAAGCACTTTACTTTCTCTTCCATCTAAGTTGTTTAAAAACCCATGTATATATGCTGTCATTGGAAATTTCATTCCAAGTTATTAGTATCTATTTGCTCTGTAGGTTTGTGTTTTTTGCAAATAAATACTGTATAGGTTTCCCCTGCTATCTGAAAGTGAGGGGTCCCAATGAAATATTTCATAAGCCGGTACAGTGTAAGGCAAAGAAGCAATTACCATTAATTTTTGTGAAAAATTTTTTGAGTATTCCTAGACCCAAAAAATAACCTCTGTTAGGTTTTTCTGACACCCTAGCACACATCTTGCTAACGTATGCACAAAATAAATAGAGATAAAGCACAGATGCACACAGACACAGTTCAGAGATGTAGTGGCTTAGCGCGGAGATGCCCAGTGTCATTCCCAGGGAAGGAGCTTGGTGGTGCTGCTGTCACTGCTCAGTGTGCACACTGCCTCTAAACAAACACTTAACGCTGTTTTTGCTTTTTGCCTTTTTTGTAAAAGTGAAAATCCCCTTTGGGCTTCTTTCAGTTAGCAAAGGTGGGTACGAACGTAGGTCTTCTGTAGAAGCATAATGCAAGCTTTTGAAAAGCAGGGGATTACCTGTATTGCTTTTTACGTATCTTTAAAGATTTATTAAAAACAGCCTCTAATACTAGAATTGCGAGGTTACACCCCAGGAATAATGCCTAAATCAACTTCTTTGTCAAATTTTTTATTGCACACGGATGATATAAATATCCAAAGTTAGTATTGACTGAGAATATTTTGGGCAAATGTATCTTCTTTTGCAAACATCACTTTGCTGTTCAAAATAGAGTACTCCATTTTTTCTGCAATTCTTCATTCCCTCTATTTAGATCCCAAGTATTATTGAGCAAATGCTTCAGTGCTTGAAAACTAAACCTCATACTCCGTGACTTTGGTGACAGATGTTCTCTATGATGTGGTACTTAGCATGGTGCCTATAATACTGAACACAGTACCTGGTGCTTCATCAGTACTCAGTAACTGTTGTTGAAAGAATAAGGGATGAAGGATTATTTTCATAGTCTATGTAGATCTAGAGAAGAAGTGACATTTGTCTCAGATTTTAGATCTATCTACAAGACAACTATTTTATATGTCATCTCAGTTAAAAATATTTTGAACCATATACAACTGCAGAATATGAGTCCCAAGTATATTTTAACCAAAATCTTTGCGTTTTTTGGTTTTTACTTTAGGTTAGTTTTGTCAGATGAGGAAGTGAGCTTGGGAAATGAACCAGGTAAGATGGTAAATTCATTAAAATGTGAAATGATCACATTTGAAATGTCAAAACAGTTTGTCACAACCTTTTTTTCTTTTTTAAAGATTTTATTTATTTGACAGAGAGAGAGAGATAGCGAGAGCAGGAACACAAGCAGGGGGAGTGGGAGAGGGAGAAGCAGGCTTCCCGCGGAGCAGAGAGCCCAATGCGGGGCTCGATCCCAGGACGCTGGGATCATGACCTGAGCCGAAGGCAGACGCTTAACGACTGAGCCACCTAGGCGCCCCTGTCACAACCTTTTAAAACAGATTGTATTAATATCCATTCATTTAAAAAACATGTTAAGTCAATTTATAAATCTCTTCTATATAAACACTTTTGAGTTAGATTTCTTTTCCCCCCAGCTTTACTGAGTTATAATTGATATACAACACTATAAGTTTAAGGTGTACAGTGTGAAGATTTGATATACATACATATTGCTAAATGATTATCACTATAAACGTAGTTAATACATGCATCACCTTACATAGTTACTATGTATCTTTTGGCGGCAAGAACATTTAAAATTTATTCTCTTAGCAACTGTCAAGTATATAATACAGTATTGTTAACTATAGTCACCATGCTCTACATTAGATTCCCAGAACTTAATCATCTTTAGCTTAAGAACTTAAACATCTTTAGAAGTTTATACCCTTTGACCAAATTTCACCGTTTTTCCTGCCTCCCAGGCACTAGTAACCACCAATATACGTTCTCTTTCTGAGTTTGACTTTTTAAGATGTAACATTTAAGTGAGATCATATAGTATTTGTCTTTCTCTAATTTATTTCACTTAGTGTAATGTCCTCCAGACTCATCCATGTTATTGCAAATAGTAGGATTTCCTTCTTTTTTATGAGTAAATAATATTCAATTCTATTCTATTCTATATATGTGTATATATAACATTTTCTTTATCCATTTATCTGTGATGGACATTTCAGTTGTTTCCATGTCTTGGCCATTGTAAATAATACTGCAATGAACATGGGGATGCAGATACCTCCTTAAGATAGTAATTTTATTTCCTTTGGATATATGTACCCAGAAGTGGAAGTGCTGGAGCGTATGGTAGTTCTGTTTTTAATTTTTTGAGGAACCTCCATACTGCTTTCCATAATGGCTACACCAATTTACATTCCCACCAACAGGGCACAAGTGTTCCCTTTTCTCCACATCCTATCCCACATTTGCTATCTCTTGTCTTTTTGATACTAGCATTCTAACAAGTGTGAGGTGATAGCTCACTGTGGTTTAGATTTCTATTTCCCTGATGAGTGGTGTTGTGTATGTGTTGTGTATATGTCTTATTTGGTTGGAAAAATGTGTATCTAGGTTCTTTGCCCATTTTTAATCAGGTTATTTTGTTTTTGCTACTAAGTTATGAGTTCCTTACAGATTTTGGATAGGAACCCCTTATCATATAGATGATTGGGTTTGTGTGTGGCCAGTGTGATTGGGTTTTTTGATTGTTGATTGTTTTGTTGTTATTTTTTTGCTGTGCAGAGGATTTTTAGTTTGATGTAGTCTTCTTTATTTTTGCTTTTGTTTCTTGTGCTTTTGGTGTCCAATGCAGAAAAATCACTGCCAACACCAACGTCAATGAGTTTTTTCCCTAGTATTTTTTTTTAATTGAAGTATAGTTAACATATATTAGTTTCAGGTATTGGGGGCGCCTGGATGGCTCAGTCAGTTAAGCATCTGCCTTTGACTCAGGTCATGATCCCAGGTTCCTGAGATTGAGCCCTGCTCAGTGGGGAGCCTGCTCCTCCTGGGCTCTCTCTGCCTGCCACTCTCCCTGCTTGTTCTCTCTCTCTCTCTCTGTCAAATAAATAAAAGTCTATATTAGTTTCAGGTACACAGCACAGAGATTTGACAGTTATGGACATTACAAAATGTTCACCATGATAAGTGTAGTCACCATCTGTCATCCTGCAAAGTTATTACAATATTACTGTTTGTATTCCCTGTGCTGTACTTCCCATTCTCGTGATTTATCTATTTTATGACTGGAAGTTTGTACCGGTTATGTATGTTGCCTCTGCCTCCACCCCACTCTGCTGTGGCGACCATTGGTTCTCTATATTTGTGTGTGTTTCTTTTTGTTGTTGTTTGTTTTGTTTTGCTTTTTTTTTTTTTTAGAGTCCAGATATAAGGGGAATCATATGGTATTTGTCTTTCTCTGACTTGTTTCACTTAGCGTAATACCTTCTAGGTCCATCATTTCATGAATGGCAAGATTTCATTCTTTTTTATGGTTGAGTAATTCTGTATGCATTCATGATCTATATTTATAACATCCTATTTTAAGCTGATAAGAACTTCAATAGCATATGGAAACTCTACACTTTCCTCCCCCTCACATTTTAGGTTATTAATGTTATCATTTACATCTTTTTTATTGTGTATCCAGTAACAAATTATTGTAGTTATAGTTATTTTTAATGTTTGTTTTTTTAACTTTTAAACTAGAGTTGAAAGTGATTTATGCACCACTCTTCCAAAATTATAGAATCTGACTTTGAGTATATATTTACCTTTACTGATGAGTTGTACACATTTGTGCAGTTTTAGGAGGTTATTTAACATCCTTTCATTTCAGCTTGTAGAATACCCTTTAGTCTTCCTTGTAAGGGAGGTCTGGTGGTGATGAACTTTCTCAACTTTCATTTGTTTGGGAAGGGCTTTCTCTCTCTTTCCTTTCTGAAGGACAGCTTTGCCGGGTATAGTATTCTTCATTGAGTTTTTTCTTTCAGTATTTTGAATATATCATACTGCTCTCTCCTGGCCTACAAAGTTTCTCCTGAGAAATCTGCTTACAGTCTTATAGGGGCTCCCTCATACGTGAGAAGTCACTTTTCTCTTGCTGCTTTAAAAATTCTGTCTTTGACTTGACAATATGATTACAATGTGCTGTTGTATCTGACTGGACAAAGCTGTTGCTCATGCTCTGAGGTTGGGGGAGGCCCACTGGCTGTATTTTGTGTTTAAGTGGTGCTGTTGGCTGGGATCCCTGGGAAGGGGCTGTGCTCTGAGGTCAGGCAGGGTCACTAGCTGGGCTTCACAGTCATGTCTGATCAAATGAGGCCACTGCCAAGCCTCTTTTTTCAGGCAGGGCTTCATGGTCTGATATGGCCTCAGCCTGTGCTTTGCAACCTGCAGGACTGCAGAGGCTGGGTTCTAAATCAGGTGGGACGGTGGCTGTGCTCTGCTGTCGGGCAAGATCGCCGGCCATACTTCCTAGCTGAGTGGGCCTCGTGCTTTACTGCATGATTGGGCAGGGCTTGAGACTGTGTTTTACAACTGAGTGGGATCCCTGACGGGGCTCCCTGCTTGGGTGAGACTGCAGGCTGTGCTCAGCAATTGAGCATGGCCATCTGCGTTGCTTCAGTGCCAGGCAGGGCTATAGACTGGAGTTTGCACTGTGATGCTCCCCGGGGTCACTGAGGGCTTCCTGGCGAGCTAGGTAGGAGGTTATGCCTCATACTCAGCTGGGGCTGCTGACTTGTTTCTCTTTCTGGTTGGGTGGTAGGATATGCTCTGTAACTTCCCAGGGTCTCAATCCAGGCTTCCTGGTCAGGTGGGACTGGAGGCTATACTCAGCAATGAGTTAGCTTTCTAGCAGTACCTCATTAGAAGGTCTACTTACTTTCTTTAGGGAATTTTGATTTTCTCTTAAGATGAGGGCTTTTAATGTAGACATTTATTTCACAGGGTGGTATGATTAAGTTTCAAGCTTTTCCTCATACTTCAATACATGTTATTTTTTTTAATAAATACATATTATGTATACAATCAGTATGTATTCAATCAGTGCAGCTTTGGAGCCAGAAAAATCAGGGTTTGAATGCCAGCTTTTAAAAACAAGTCATTTACCTCTCTCATTTTTCTCATCTGAAATATGAGTCATATACTCCTGCCTTACAGAGATATTAACACTAGAGATACTTATAAACTACATAAACTATATGATAGGTGTACTGTTAATGCAAGAGGCATTTTTAAGTGTACACATAGATACAGACCATGTTGATAAACCATAATAATCATGGACTTGTATATCTAACATAGCTTCAAGTATATGTTCAAAAGGTTAGCTTCTTGTGCATATATAATTCCATGCTCTAGTAGACAGCATATTTTTAAAAGGCCCAGATGAAATATAATGGATATTGTTGTAGTTTCACCATTCATTTGTAGCATTATTCAATCTTTAAAAACTGCTGTATCAGTAATTATGTCTACTTTTTTAAAATTTATTTTATTTTTTTAAAGATTTTATTTATTTATTTGAAAGAGACAAAGTGAGAGAGGGAACACAAGCCGGGGGAGTGGGAGAGAGAGAATCAGGCTTCCCACAGAACAGGGAGCCCAACACAGGGCTCGATCCCAGGACCCTGGGACCATGACCTGAGCCAAAGGCAGACGCTTAATGACTGAGCCACCCAGGCGCCCCATGTCTACTTTTTTTTTTTTAAGATTTTATTTATTTATCTATTTGAGAGAGAGAGAGAAAGAGCACAGGTGGGAGGAGGGGCAGAGGGAGAGGGGGAGGGAGAATCCCAAGCAGACTACTCACTGAGCTTGGAGCCTAATGCAGGGCTTAGTCTCACAACCCTGAGACCATGACCTGAGCCAAAATCAAGAGTCAGATGCTCAACCGACTGAGCCATCCAGGTGCCCTGTTATGTCTACTTTTTATTTCCAAATATTTATTTGTTCCTTCGCTCTTTTTTTCTTAATCAGTCTTGCTAAAGGTTTATTTATTCTTTCAACAAATCAGCTTTTGGTTTTGTTAAACCTGTCTATTGAATCTGTTTCATTAATTTTTAGTTCTTATCTTCATTATTTTCTTCCTCTATTATTTTTTTTAAGGCTAAAAATTTCCCTTTTTCTGTATCCCACAAGGTTTTTTTTTTTTTAATTTTTATTTGACAGAGAGAGAGAGAGAGAGCACAAGCAGGGAGAGTGGC